TGTGTGTGTGTGTGTGTGTGTTCTTTCATCAGCATAAACAAACAAACAAAATACAAATGTTAACCTAAAATCAATCCCTTTATTCCCTGCAAGCCCTTTTGGGCCAGCTTCCTTGTTAGTGTTACTGACAGGGACCAAGGCCAACCACTAGGGGGCATCAAAGCAGCATGAAGCCCCACCCCCAAGTGAGCAATGCTAGCTACCTCCAGCAGGGAATCTGCATCCCTTCTTCCATCCTGCTCTTCCAGTTTGTTCTGGTGTTTCTCAGGGCTCTGCAGACCCTCATATTTCACTAAATAGGTGAGCAGAATGTGACTGGCGCTCAAAGTTGCAAACCAGCTGCCCCCAAGTCCTTCCGACCTTGAGCTCACTCCAATGCTGAAAGCAGCAGATCTCTGAGAAGGCAGCAGTGGCTGCCCCATCATCAGTGCCGGCTCAATTTGCTGACTTGAAAAAACGTGTCATTCCCCTCTCGTCTCTGGAGTTTGGCAGAAGCCTGAGCTGAATGCTGACCATAAGGAGCTTTGGAGCTACAACTGTTTCACCAAGGTTCTCCCCTGGAGTGAGCCCTTCTGCAGAAAATGATCCTGCTGGCCACTCCAGAAAAGCCTCTTCAACTACCCACTGTTTCTTCCCACACAGCCACATGCCCTAGGCTCTACAAACCTTGTGGGCCTCATGAAAGATGCTGATCATGGTCCCTCTCCACAAAAACCCACCCAGCCCCTTCAGACTTGTGACCTCCAACTAGTGGCTGAGCCTCAGTCCCTCAGCTCGAGTACCACAGAATTCATTAACACCAGCCCACTGGATTGGGGAGGTGATCCAGAAGGTCGGTAACTGCCTAAACCTTTCAGGAGAGTCCCAGTAACTCTCCTTCTGGTGCTATCTTCAGCCAGCAGCTCTGGTTCCTCTGTCCCACTCCAGAGTCACCACCAGTCTTGTGTCATCCAGGCCCAGAGGCCTTTCCCTCACCTCAGTAATAAACAGGATACACTCCAGGAACATGTAGTCCTTGTGGTTCTCATTCACAGCCTTTTCATCCACAAAGTGCCTGGGCTCCAGATACGGGTGGTCTGGGAAAAGCAAAGCACCTGGAATTACAAACCTGGCACTCTCACCGTCTGGGACCCTCAGCCCAGCTAAGGCCAACAACCATCCCAGGGCTGCTCCCAACACAGAACCTCACAGGAGAAAGAAACTGCCTTGTGGATGGGTATGTACTCTAATTTTGTACACTCTGCTCCACCTCTTACTGGTTACTGGTTGTGTGTCTTCAGCCCACCGAGGCTCGAGGTCCTCATCTGTAAAGCGAGGTTGCTGAGTACTACACACAAACAATAGTTGCCATGTGCAAAGCACTTAGCAGCACAGGGCCTGACACAGTAAGTGTTACTCCTTGATAGTTGGTTGTACACTGGCAAAGACCCTCTTCACAGGGCCATTGAAAAGATTCAGGGAGATATCCATCTGAAGCACTTAGTAGTGCCAGGCATCAAGCAAATAATCAACAAATGCTTGTTTATTAATATTCTTTTGTAGGCAATTAATTCTATGTCAAAACAGACATTCTCTCCCCACTCCCAGTCACCAGTATATCCTAATGAGCTAACCAAGTCTGGAAAAACATTGTCAAGTGGCAAGAGCTCACCAGAGCAAGCCCAATGCAGCCCCCTAGGCAGTGGGCCCACTGCCCAGCACTTGGCAGCAGCTCCCTGATGGTTTCCCTTGCACACAGCTCGATAATAACAGTGGATGACGTTGGTCACCAAGTCAAAAGGGATCCTCATTTTCAACACAAGATCCCATAGCTGCTGCCGGAAGCTGGGGCTCGCTTCACACCAGTCCATTATGCACCAGGCAGGCGTCCTTGCTCCAGCCCATGTCACTTTCTATTATCTCTGCGGAGCTCTGCCTCCACTCGCGCCTCCCCCCCCCCCCAAACAGGCTAGCAGCAGAAGGTCGACAGCAAACAGCCTCTGTCAATAGCCAGTCTAATGTCCTGCTTTACAAGCTGTCACGGTCTGCCCTAAGCAGGAGGAAAGGGAGACAGAGGAAGAGCCCAGAGGGGGGCTGAGGGGTAGGCAGCTCTTCAGTACCTATCAGCTGAGAGCTACCCCAGATGAAGGGCAGAAACTGGAAGTCATCCAGGCCCCACACTCCCTGGCTGCCGGCTGGCTCCATCCTGTATGTCTTCTGGAGCTTTCGCATAACCTCAAGGTACCTGTAAAGGATGGTGGAGGAGAAAGGGAAGGAAGCACAAAGTAAAAAGACCTTTTGCCATTCTTTTTTTTTTTTTTTTCCCATTACACACTTTTGGCCTGGAAACAAGGCAAAACATCAACTGAAGATTGGATTTTAGTATCATCAACTTCCCCCTAACCAGCTGAAAAACCTTGGGTAGGACCCTCAACTTCTTTAACCTCAGTGATCTATCTGAAAGTTGATGGAAGTTGAATTAGATTATTTCCCAGGTTTTTCTAGGCAGAAACCTCTGTTTTTATCCAAGGCCGGGCATCAGAGTCCTCTGTAGAGCCTTTTACAACACACTGGTCCCTGTGCTCCACTACATCAGAGTGAGGCTCAGGAATCAGTGCTGTCTGAGCTCTCCAGGTGACTCAGACACACACCTGTGCAGTCTGCCAGGGTTCCGATAGCTGTGTGAACTCAGTTTCTCATCTGTAAAACAGAAATAACAGCTGCTACTTCATGGGGCAATTTTGAGGATGAAATCATGACCAAACATAAGGAACCCTGATAGCATAGTGGATTACAAGCTGTAATGCTAACTGAAAGGTCAGCAGTTTGAATCTACTAGTTGCTCTGCAGGAGAAAGATGAGGCTTTCTGCTCCCGTAAAGAATTACTACCTGGGAAACCCTATACAGGATTGCTATGAGTCAGGAATGACTTGACAGCACACCACCACCATCACCAAGTAAAATGTTTAGTAAATGGAGTCCTGGTGTGGCACTGTGGGATAAGCATGGGACCACAAGGTCGGTGGTTCAAACCCACCAGCCACTCCTCAGAAACCCTACACAGAGTCACTATGAGTCGGAACCAACTCAATGGCACGTAATAACAACAAGTAATATGCTTAGTGTGGTACCTGTACATGATAAACACCACATCAGCATTTGCCATCAGTATTTGACATTTGCTTTTACTTGGAGGTGAATTTGAACCTGTCAGGAGTCATGGACAACCCATCCACAAGCCTGACTTTGATGAGAACAGGGATAAGAGGACCATCAGCCACTCAGGAAAACCCTGTCTCTGGTCTCATGGTAACAAAGCAGAAAAAGACCCCTCAGCCCCATGTTCCAGCAGCCGCCCCTCCTACCCTCCTTTCCCTCACCGATTGAACACTTTGAAGACAATGGCTATTTGGTCATCTACCCGGAGCACCCCAATCTTGCAGAGACAGCACAGGAAAGCAGCAAAAGCTGCTTCATGCCCTGGAGGGAAAAAGACAAGTTGAAATTGACAATATTCCAAAAAATGGAGGACTGCTTCTTGGCTCATCAGAATCCAAATCATGGAAACCGTCCCCTTCTGAGCAGGGACATCAACATGGAGCTAACAGGGCCTCTGCCCCCTCCAGAAAGACTAAGGTCCTTTCCAGAACTACCAACCAGTACTATCATTCACCCCTAAAAAGGCCCAGGTTCTTAACTTTGTAAACAGGCATTTTTCACATACTCGTTTGCAGATTTAACTTACTACTACTAATCCGTTTTACCCTATTTATTGAGCACATACTATGTGGGCAGTCACTGTCCATGCCAGGCACTAAAGAAACGGTGGCAAACAAGTCCCTGCCCTCAGAGAGCTTATGATTTATTAGTGATGACAGAAATTAAATATACAAGCACTATTACTAGGGTTCGAGTTCTGAAGAAGTTGCTGTTGTTGTTATTAGGTACCACTGAGTTGGTACCCACCCATAGCAACCTCAGGCACAACAGAATGAAACACTGCCCGGTCACATACCAACCTCACATTCACTGCTACATTTGAGCCCACTGCTGCTGCCACTGTGCCAATCCATCTAGTTGGGGTCTTCCTCTTTGTTGCTGACCCTCCATTTTACCAAACATGATAAAGTTGGTCCCTTCTCTAGGGATTGGTCTCTCCTGATAATATATCCAAAGTATGACAGACGAAGTCTAGCCATCCTGGCTTCTACGGAACATTCTGGCTGTACTTCTCCCAACACAGATTTGTCAGTTCTTTTGGCAATCCATGGTACTTTTAATATTCTCCTCCAACACCATTAACTCAAATGAATCAATTCTTCTAAGGTCTTCCTTATTCATTGTCCAACTTTCACATGTATATGAGGCTACTAAAAATACCATGGCTTGGGTCAGGCCTTAGTCCTCAAACTGACATCTTTGCTCTTATTAACACATTAAAGAGGTCTTGTGCAGCAGATATGCCAAATGCAATATATCTCTTGATTTCCTGACTGCTACTTCCATGAGTGTTAATGGCAGATCCAAGCAAAATGAAGTTTTTTACTTCAATCTTTTCCCCATTTATCTTGATGTTATTTATTGGTCCAGAGGTGAGAATTTTTGTTTTCTTTACATGGAGCTGCAACCCATACTGAAGGCTATGGCCTTTGATCATCATCAGTAAGAATTTTACACCCTTTTCGCTTTCAGCAAGCAAGGTTGCATCATCTGTATATCATGGGTTTTTAATGAGTCTTCCTCAATCCTGATGCCACATTCTTTCTTCATATAATCCAGCTTCTCAAAGTATTTCTCAGCATACAGCTTGAATAAGTATGGTGAAATAATACAACCCTGGCACACAACCCTGCTTTTAAACCATTCAGTGTCCCCTTGTTCTGCCAGAATGACTGCTTCTTGGTCTATGTACAGGTTCCTCATGAGCATACCTTAGCGTTCTGGAATACCCATTCTTCACAATCTTAGTCATAGGTTGTCATGATCCACACTGTCAAAAGCCTTTGTGTAGTCAATAAAGCACAGGTAAACATCTTTCTAGTATTCTCTATTTCAGCCAAGATCCATCTGATGTCAGCAATGCTGTCCTTCATTCCACATCCTCATCTGAATCCAGTTTGAACCTCTGGCAGTTCCCTATCAATATAGTGTAACATCAGCTTTTGAATTACCTTAAGCAAGATTTTATTTGCATGCAATATTAATGATATTGTCCAATGCTTCCCACAATCCGTTTGGCCACCTCACTTAGGAATGGGCACAAAAACCCATTTATGGGGTAAAAAAACCATTTAAAAAAAAACTCTTATAATCAGTTGGCCAGATAGCTATCTTCCAAATTTCTTGGCATAGATGAGTGCTTCTAGCGCTGCCTCAGGTTACTGAAGATTTCAGTTTGCATTCCATCATCAATTGCCAGAGTCTTGTTCTTTGCCAATGCGTCCCAGTGCACCTTGGACTTCTTCCTTCAGTATCACTGGCTCTTGACCATATGCTACCTCTTGAAATGGTTGAACATCAACCATTTCTTTTTGGTACAGTGGCTCTGTGTATTCCTTCCACCTTCTTTTGATGCTTTCTGCATCATACAATATTTTGTCCATAAAATCCTTCAGTATTTCAAATTGAGGCTTGAATTTTTTTCTTCAATTCTTTCAGCTTGTGAAATGCTGATTGTGTTCTTCCTTTTTGATTTTCTAACTCTAGGTCTTTTCACATTTCATTATAACATTTGACTTTGTCTTCTCAAGCTGCCCTTTGAAATTTTCTGTAGTTGTTGTTGAAGTGAAGTAGGTTCTGACTCATAGCAACCCTATACAGGGTTTCCAAGGAGCAGCTGGTGAGCTTAAACCACCAGTCTTGCAGTTCAAAGCGGCCTTGCAGTCCAGCACATTAGCCCATAGCACCACACCAGAACCTGTAGAAGCACAAGGTGGTAACTGAAGGATATCAAGGAAGGTTTCCCCAAGGAAGTGACATTTAATCTGAAATGTGAAGGCGGTAGGCAAAGTAGAAGAGCAGTCTAACTAGAAGAGATAGCATGTGTAAAGGCCCTGAAGCAAGAAAAAACTTGATCTATTTGAGAGCCTTAGAAGGGCTAGTATGGCTAAAGCAAAGAGGAGAGAACAAGTAGAAAAAAAATGAGGCTAGAGGTTAGACAGGCCTTAACAGTCACAAAGAAGAGTTCAGTCTTAATTTGAAGAGCAGTGGGGAGCTACTGACTGGTTATAAGCAAGGAATATGTACTCAGGTTACAGGATCAGGAACTCCCCAAAAAAGAGCCCCACTACAGTCAAATTGATTCTGACTTACACAGGGAAGGTCAGTAGGCACCCCCATTTCCTTTCCCAGTCATGTCCAATAGGAAGAATCAGCCCTATAGAGACTTTGGACTGAATCCCATGATTCATAATGTTTAAAAACTTATTTGGAGGAAGGTCAGGAGAGAGTATTTGAAGGACTTCCTAGAGTTTCTGCAGAATGAAGTCCACCTGCTCCCATCTTCTTCCCAAGGCCTGGGAAACTGGGACCTCAGTTACTTTGGTCTCTAATAGTTTCAGTTATGACCACCCAGTGCTCAAGCAACCATCATTCAGCGCCTCTTCCGTACCTGAGAACACAGGTTTTAGAAAACCTCCAACCTGCTAATGTGCTGAGTCTACCCCAAGGGATCTTGCCCTGTCAGTCTTAGTTAAAACACCCAAATATCTGATAAACCTGTTCCCCAGAAGCAGGGCGAGCAGAGGACAAAACTTATCCAGAATTGAGACCTAAGAGGGCCCTTCTCCAGTGCCTGCCTCTGAGGCCTGGGCTCCCTCTTGAGGGCCTCAATCCCTGGGCAAGAGGTGGGACATGAGAGAGCAGCAGCTATTGTATTTGCCCACTTCTGGGTAGAAAGATAAGGTGGGCCCTTACCAAAGCAGGGCTCCTCCTCAACCAAGTCTCCTGGCCTACACAGGCTACCCATGAGCTCGAGAACATTTTCCTTTTAATGTGCCCTCCTCAAAGTCCAAGTCAGTTTGACTGACACGGACAATCAATTAAAAAGCTTAACAGTGTAGATAATCTGGCTAAGAGACAAGAGGCCTTGACGAGAGTGTGCCACAATGAAGCCAGCAGTTTCTCTAAGTGGTTGCCTTGCAATATAGTAAGTGCTCAATAAATTATGATTTTTGTAATGATGGGGACGGTGCGCTCAGAGAGACCATCTTTATGAAGAATAGAAATCAGCTCTGGGAATCCAGGTTCCACGTACACGGCAACAGCGCCCCCTGGTGGGTAGGATAGAGCCACAAGCGTAGGATCAGGCCTCCCTAGAACACTGAGGCCAGCCCCTAGCTGGCCGCTACAAGTTGCAGGAGCTTGGCAAATTCTTGCTAGCTCAGAGGGGCACAAGACATCCAGGGCAAAGTAGCATTCTGAGAAAAGAAACCAGTGAAGCCAAACAACTGTAAGGCCCCCAATGGGCTGGGAAGTGGGCAGGTACCTGTGCCATAGTCGATGCGCGTGGAGTTCCCCACTGACTCCTTTAGGTAAACAGCCACTTCAGGCACTGCAGCTGCCAGATGGGTGGGGACCACTGTGGCCACCAAGTTTTCTGCCTCCTGATAACACAAGACACACAAAGTGGTGGTCATAGATTAAGCAACATGCCAGTGGGCAAGTGCCCAAGGGCAGCATCTGGCTGGGGGCCCAGGCTGCCATGCCAAGCTGGCCTGGCTCCCTGCTCTGTCCGGTCTAGAAGGAAGGGGCAGGGTGGTCTCCTAAGCAGAAGACGGAGCACATTTCTTCTTATACAAGAGAGGATACCCTGGGGAGACTTTCCATCTGCTGCCCTTCCCTCCCTGTAGCAAGACAGAAAGAATCTGAAAAGAAGTCGCTCAATTATCTCATCTGGCAACTCACTGGAGCCCCATAAAGACTCTGGGAGGTCAGTACTATTATCCTCACAGATGGCACCCCTCTTCACCACACTCCCAGGGGAGCAAGAGTTTACGTCATAAGTCCACCAAACGACAAACACAAGAATGTTCATAGCAGCATTATTCATAGTAGCTGAAAAGCATAAACAACCCACAGACAAAAATGTCCATCAATAGTAGAATGGGCAAATAAGCTATGGTACACTTTGACGTGGAAAAAATCTACTGCTCAACCCACCATGAATGAATCTTAGACATAATATTGAGCAAAAAAATTTCAGAGATAAGCATCATCAGTCTACTGATAGAAATCAGAAGAATTTAGGGATATTAACTAGGAGTGGGGGCACAAATAGCCCTGCTGGAGTGCTGGAATGTTCTATAGCTTGATATAAGCGGATGCATGGTTAAAAACATATGTAAAACTCCATCAAGCTGTATAGCTATGGTTTTCTTCCAGTTTCCTTAAATGTAAATCATAACTCAATAAAAATCTGTTGATAAAAGAATTATGTGCCATGTTTTAGTCCAGTAGCAACCCCAGGCAGCTCTTCATCAGACACAAACCTGGGCTAAGTCCTGGATACTACCGTCTGCTCCATGAGAAATCCCTGGATCAGAGAAATTAGGAGCTGTGGACACCTGGCATCAGAATCTTTGTGAGCTATGGATGCTGCTCTTTACAAAGGAGGGGGCTTGAGATTCTACATTTTTACTTTTTGTTTGCTTTAAACCTGTAATTTTGTAGGTTCAAAGTAAAAACATTAGAAAAAATGTATATTGAGAAGTCTCATTCCTATCCATCTCTATTCACCCTATTCTTCTCCTACCCTCAAATAGAACCCAGTTTTATTACCCTCTTGTGTATCATTTCAGGGATGTTTATTTATACACATATGTACAGTATAAACATATATTTTGATGTCTCACTCTTCCTTACCAAAAGGCAGTTTACCATACACACCATTATACCTGGCTGACTCTTTTTTTTAACCCTAACAATAAATTCCAGAGTCCTTTCCCTTGAGTTCCCTCGACAGTCTCCTTAATCCTTTTTCAAGCTACAGAGTCCTTGGTGGTGTGAGTCCACTACAGTTTATTTACCTAATTGCTTACTTATGGACACTTGGGGTGTTTCCCATCTTTCCCATGACTAATAAATAGCCTTATGCAAAGGGCATTACATATATCCACACAAGTATCTGTAGTAACAGTTGCTAGAAGAAGGCTGGGACAGAGGTTAAATACATTTGTAATTCAGATGCTCCCCAATGACTCTGTTATGCCTGGAAGCTAGAAGCCCCTGCTTTGCCTGCAGAGACTCCTCCCCTTCCTAGACTTAATGCAGTCCCACAGGTTAGCCCCCTATGGCAACCTCACCTCATCAAGTTTGGCATACCAGGTCCTGTAGGCCTTGTTCCCAAATCGAGAGGGCTGGTCCACTGGAGGGGTCTCATCAATCCACCTGTCCAGTGTGTTGAGAAGAGCAACCAGTTTCTCAATAGCCTGTGGGAGTAAAAGAGGGAGCCAAGTCACAGTGATTAGTGGCTCCAAACTAAAGCCACAAACTCTTCTGCAATTGTTGCAGGACTATGACCCTTAAGCATGGCACTCACAAGCCGTTCTCCTGGCTGCCCCTCTTTCTTCCCAAACACACTGACTCTAAAAGAGAGATTGCATCATGGGGCCTTTCAAGGAACGCTGTGGCTTTAGCACCTGCTCTGTATAGCTAGTCTACCAAGAAGGAGTTGGTGGATACGCTCAAACTCCAGCCCTGACTTTTTTTTTTTCAAAATAAGTTTTATGGTACATTCTTAACACCTACTTATCACAGAAAGTAGGAATGTAAAAGACAGAACACTGAAATGACCAGTGATCCTGCCACCCAGAAATGAACGATATTCACATTTTAACATATTCTTCTGCTTTGTTTTGTTTTTATACAGACAGGGTTTTCTAATTTTATCATGGTTAGAATTTTAAAGTCAGGCAGACCTGAATTCAATTCTTTATTTAAACATCATTAGTTGTTGTGAGATTTTGAACAAGTAACTTTAACTGAGTCTCAGTTTCTTCATCTCAAAAATGGGGGCAATAATCCCTGCCTCACAAGGTAGTGAAGGAGCTCTGGTAGCGTAGTGGTTACGAATCGGGCTGCAAACCATAAGGTCAGCAGTTCAAAACTACCAGCTGCTCCGCGGGAGAAAGATGAGGCTTTCTGCTCCCGTAAAGATTTATAGCCTCGGAAACCCTGTTTCAGGGTTGCTATGGGTTGGAACTGACTCGACGGCACTTAACAACACAAGGTAGTGACAATCCATGTAAAATGTGTGACACAAAATAATGGCAATACATAAACACACAAATACTTCTTAAAAAGTGTAGCACAGGGTTTTGAAGCCTGCTCATTTTCCTCAGCACATCATGAACCTCATCCCACATCAACATGTAAACAAAATGTTATATCTTTTAATATGTGAATATTTCATTATACCAATATACCATAATTTATTTATCACACCCCTCATTGTTAAATACTTGGGTTGATTTCAACAATCGCAACTACAAACACTGTAATAAATACAACTTGCAATGGACTCTTTGTGGAACTGCTGGATCAAAGGTCTGGCTTTACATGCTTTACATGGCCAGCCAAGATTCCACCTCTCTGTACCCTTCCACACAGAAAAATTGGAGAAGGAATGGTGTCAAGAGGCAGGGCAAGGTCCCAGCATTTACACATAATGGATCTGCAGCCCCTGAGAAAATTAAGTAGAGCTGCCTATCCAAATCAAAGGTCTTTGAGGATGGCTAGAAGGAGCTTCTTCAAGGTGCAGCTTGCAGAAATAGGCCAGTACAACTATCTCTGGATTTAGGAACATTAGATGCAGAAACTATTTGGAGTCAGGCAGCCCTGGGAAAAGGGTCTTAGTGGGCACAAAGCACATAAGGAGAAACCTCAGGAAATCTGGCACTGTAACTGCAAAGGAGCCCAGACCCCTGAGAGTTGTGTGTGTATTTGGGAAGAGATAGGAATGTGCTATTAGATAGAACACATGTCAGTCAGTGCCTTACCCCACTCCGCCTCCCCCACCCCCTGCCCCCAGCTCCAGGAAGAACAGATGATCTATACACATATTTTCCCCTGGAGTTCTGCAATACAACAATGTCCCTGAATGATGTTCTCTCTTATCTACCAGAGAAAAAGTTACTGTAAGAGGGTGACTTTTCCTTTACACCTGGTGGAGGCAGAGGGCAAGAGTGACACAGAGCTGCCTTGTTGAGAAGTGACAGAAAGTACTGTCAGTACCTCCCTTTGTGAAGAACCAGGTCACCAGGAACAGCTAATGAGGACAAACCAAATCTGACCCCAGGCAGCAACTGTGACTCACGATGGATGGCACAGTATTCTTGGCTCCAGGAAACACGAGTCAACTCCAAATTCACTGAAGGGGATAAAGAAGGCAGCTCTAGAGGCCAACAGGAGCCAGGCCCCAGCTGCTAGCTCAGCTGGACCAATGAATAATTAAAAGGACCCCAGCTTCCTTTTCTGGAGAGAACTTTTTGAATGCAGGGGGTTGTCACTAGCTATTGTTCGCTATTATTTGGTGCTTGTGGGAGGAGAGTTGGAGGGGGTGGGAACTGTGGGTTGGGACCCCATTGAGGTTCAAATAATAACTTCAAAGATCAATCTGAGCTACCCTCCACCACCCTGAATCAGAGCTTTCCTTCTGGATTTCATGGACAGGTCAAATTTCGTCCTCCTAATTTTACTTGCCAACTTTTAAAATTTTGCCCCTATAGTTCTCCCATAAAGATCTACAGCCTCAGAAATCCTGTACAGGGTTGCTATGAGTCGGAACCGATTCCACGGTACTTAACAACAACAATAGTACATTAAAAACAAACAAAACAACTACAAAAAGAAACCTCCTAACTACTATTCCCTAGAGTTGATACTGTTGTTAAATGTCAGAGAATCAGTTCCAACTTATAGTGACCGTATGTAGGGTTTCTGAGGAACTGATGAGTTTGAACCGCTGGCTTTGCAGTTCAAACTGGCCTTGCAGTCCAGTGCATTATCCTACAATGCCCTACCAGTAGAGGCATAATCTCAAAATCAAGCACAACCCGATCTACTGCCAATGAGTCTATGGCAAACACAGTCCACCAGCTCTGTTTCCTCTCCTTGCTGTGGGTGGAATGGAAGCTCCCACCCCAGACCACCCTGCCCTCAACCAAAGTACAGTGCCGTCTCTGCAGTAGGCGGCAGAAGCAAGAGGAAGCCAGAGACCCAAGCAGCTATGCCAGGCAGAGAGCTCTCATCTGTGGCCTGCAGCCAGGTGCTATGAACCATACCTATTGCTGTCCCTGATAGCTGTGGGGCAGCAGCTCAGAGAGCTTTGGAGACCACACCTGTCATCTCTGCTCACAAGTGTGGGGCAGCCCAGCAGCCAGGAGATGATTCCCACACTGGAAGAACCCAAACTAAAGCAACCACAATACTGAAAACTAAGTAATAGCTAATGATAACAGCAACAACAAAAACCCACTGACATAGAGTCAATCTGACTCACAGAAACCCTTTCTAGGGCTTCTAAGACTGTAACTCTTTATGGGAGCAAACAGGCTCATCTTTGGCCCAAGGAACAGCTGGTGGATTTGAACTACTGACCTTATGATTAGCAGCCCAATGCTTATCCCACAGTGACACCAGGGCTCCTTAATTATAATAATGGCACCTAGTATGTATCAGAGACTGTGCTACTATTTCACATGAGAGATCTCAGTGAATCTGATGGGACCAAGAAGGAGTCACGAGTAGGTCTGGTTACTCTTACAACTTTATAGATGAAGAAATAAAAGGATCAGAGAACAAGGTCAGTCAGCTTGGAAGTGACAGGGTATCAAAACCCAGTCAGTCAGGACCGATTGTGAAGGTTGGAAATGTAAAGGTAGACGTTTTATAGCAAGGAAGGGAGTGATTAACTTTCCAGTCTACGAGTGGAGGTCCCTAGGACCATTAACAGAGAAGAGCAGAGTGCGGGACCCTACCCAGAGAAGCAGTGATGCCTGAGATGGAGGCAGAGATGATGACATGGAGAGATGGAGCAGCTGGGGACTTCAGATTCAGAGAGGGAGAAGGGCTGTGTGCTGAAGACCAGGGGAAGGGGTGTGGAGGGCAGGCTTGGTTGGTTGATGATGCATGGAGGGGATTGTAACCATGGCAAAGAAATGATATACAAAAGAATGAATGTAAAACTAATGCTCTCCCATGTAAACTATCCCATAAATCACAACAAAACATTAAAAAAAAAAACCCAGTATGCCTGATTCCAGAACCCAAGTTCTTACCCACATGGCATTCCTGCCAAAAGAGTAGCTCTCGAAGCTAAGACAACACCTGGTTGGTGTTGAGTGTCTGCCATAAAAGCCTCAGGGGCAATTAAGGAGCCAGAAAGGGATTCCATTGCTGGGATAATTACAACATTCTCCTTTAGCTAGCACTTCCCACACCCACAGACCTTGGCCCACATAGCATAGCTGAGCATCCCTTACTGCTGGCCCAAGAAAGGGCCCTCTCTCTTCCCAGCCATCCTGCATCCACAACTACTCCCAGTGTGCTGGGAAGGCCCAAAAGGAATCCAAGAAGCCACTCTAGTGGGCTGGCTCCCAAAGGAAAGTGTTCTATCTCAAGGCACAGGCTTGGCTTCTCCCAAGTGAAAAGAGCAAGGACCTCGGCCACAAAGCAGCTAGTTAGGGCCCAGGAAGAGGAGACTCCACCAGGGTGGGGTATAAGGGCTAAGATGGCAATGTTGGGACAGGTGGAGAAACTGGGTGGGGATAGGGTCAGACCTTACCCAACACAGTCCAAGACTGTGGCTAGTGAGAAAGCTGGGTGAGAGAGGAAGCATTACAGGTCCTGTTGTCTGAGATAAGTAGCTCCTAGTGGCTCTGGGCCAACTGGACAGCAACCCAAGAGGCCATCAGAGGACTGGGATCAAGCCCTGGGAGACAACACCCAGCAACAGCAAGCAGCCTATAGGAACATGCATTCCATTGGGTATCCGACTATACACAGCTCCTGCCCTCTCTGCACAAACAAGGCTGTCTCTAAAGCAACACTGAAAAGCACGCACCTGGATTATAAAATGAAACAACCACTATGGAAAACAGTATGGCACTTCCGAAAAAAGTGAGAAATAGAAATACCATATGATTCAGCAATCCCACTCCTAGGTATATTGTGGTTGTCAAGTGCCATCAAGTCAGTTCTGACTCAAGCAACCCTGTAAAAGGTTTCTAAGGCTTTAAATCGTCACAGGAGCAGAAAGCCTTATCTTTCTCTTGCAGAGTGGCTGGCAGACTCAAACTACGAACCTTGTGGTAGTTATCATATGGAGCCACCGTGCCTTCCCTAGACATATATTCTCAAGAAATATGAGCATTCAAAAAAAAAGAACTAAGAGCACTCACATGACTAGGTATATGCACATTCTTGTTCA